TTTTTACCAAGCATAGGTACTGCCTGGGTAAAATTTAAAAGAAGGGAATTAGCAAGTTGGGATGGTGGGTGGAGATGCCTGGTATTCTCCAGCAGTTGTTGTAGAGATTCTGCGGTCTAAGTGTAGATAGCATTCTAATTCTCAGTGTCAAAAGTGCTAATTGATATGTTTCTGTAAATGGGGAAGGGTGGTGGGGGTGAAGGGAGGGCAGGGACAAGGAGAAAAAAATGAGAACCAAGACCTGTCATGTAAAGGTACAAGATCCCAACGATGAATGTAACTGTACTGTGTACCTAAAATGTACCAATAAACTCAATGAGAAAAAAAATAAGCAATGGATTTAAACCATTATGAAAAAAAAGTGCGAAGTGATTGTGCGGTTGCTGTGGTATTGCCATGGGAACGACTCTGTGGTGTAGCAGGACCTCACTATTCAGTGCCATTGTTCCTAGACTGTTGAGTGGTTTCCAAGATAAGAATTTAAGGTACTGAGTCTTATCGTCCCTCTCCGATCCTTCCAGAATTTTAAGTTAAATTATGTGGAGCTTTCCTGTTGGTGTCTTCAAGCCCTAAAAGATATACAGGAAAGCAGGCTGGGGATTTAGTTCAGTGGTTCCAGAGCCTGCCTCGCAAGCGCAAGGACCTGAGTTCTATCCCCAGTACCACACACACACACACACACACACACACACAGAAAAAAATATATATATAGATAGATAGATAGATATGCAGAAGGCTTTACTTGTTTTGATTCTACCAACTTGGACGTGGCTTCCTTTAATGTCCCTCAGAATGACGGTGGTGGCAGGATCAAGAAGTGCTTATTTCCTAGGAATAGCCCCAAGTTCTGTGAGCGGCCTGATCCACGGCTGGCTGAGCTGCTTTCCACCAATTTACAAGAGTAAAAAATTAAGACAAAGTTACCAGATTGCCCACTTTCATTCCCACTCTGTCAATCATCCAAAGAACAAGACGTAGGAGGACTTCTTCCCAGGGTCGATAAAACTTACAAGAACCATGTATGGGGGAACCCTCAGTAGAGGTCAAACATAGGATAGTTTGATGTTGCGATCTAAAGTAAGGGTCAGAAAACAAAACAAATGTATACTTAAAATATTTTTAGAAAAAAAATTCCTCTGAAAGGCAGACAGTTATCAGATCAAAAATTTTATAACGTGTTAATCAGCTTTCCTTCCCCGGGATAAACAATTACCCGAGATAAACAATTCAAGGAGGAAAGGCTTATTTGGGCTCATAACTTCAAAGGTTTCAGTCCATAATCAGCTGGCTCTGTTATTTCTGGGCCTGTGGTCAGGAAGAAACATCATGGTAGAGAGGGTGTGGCAGAGCAGTGCTGCTCACAGCATGGTGGCTGGGAGGAAGAGAAAGAGAACATGCTGCTGCGCTTCCCTCTTCCCCTTTTTTGGTCCATTTGGGCTGCCGTCCTATCAGATAGCACCACCCACATAACAGGGCTGGGGAATGTAGCTCAGGGCAAAGGCCCAGCGTGTGTCTCCTCTGTTTGCTGATCTACAAGATGGCGTCTGGAATCATCCTCACAGACACTCGAAAGTGTGCTTTGGTTATTTCCCGGATGTCTCAATCCATCCAAGTTGACAATTATTTACTCTCATCAGTAACTAATGCCATGCCTTGTGTCTATAGAAGGCTCGGTTTTGGTATCCCTGGGTGTCTTGGAACAGTCTCCTGAATCCTCTACAAGGACAACTGTATTCTGTTAAATTTGCAGAACCGCAAAGTTGAAGACAGTCTTACAAACGCATATGTACTTGTTAAGCTTTAATACTTCAGGCAGGAGTCACTTATAGTGGCACACATGTGTAATCCCAGAACTCTGGAAATTTAAGACAGAAAGATTGCACATATAAACTCAGCCTGGGCAATTTAGCAACTATGAGAACTTGCCACAAGAAATAAAGAGGGCTGGGGATGTAGCTCAGGGCAATGGCCCTGGGTTCACACTGACAGTGTAGCATTAAATGTCCAACTTTCAGAGTAATGCTACTCAAGTGTGGCCAACAGACTGGCAACTTCAGCATCCTCTGGTACCTGGTTAGAATACCAAATCCTGAAGCCTTCCCCCTAAACATTTCGGTTCTCTGAAATGCGACCCAGGTATCGGTGTTTAATAAGCTTTCCCAGTAGTTGAGAGGCAGGCTCAAATTTTGAGAAGCATTACTCCAGAGTTGTGTGAAATAAACATGGTGCCTCCTGAATTCTACGCAGCGGAGTTTGCATTTGCATATGAAGGTAATAGATAACTGTAAAATCAGGAAACAACTCTCAGGAGTATTGAATGAAGAGGCACCGAATGAAGCAATTCAGTTTCATAGTTGAAGTAAGGGCTAACGAGGGACAATGAAACATTTTGAGATTAGCTATAGCCAGTCCTTGGACTGGCAGGACCGGGGAGCCCAGAGCTGCCTGAAGCTGGAATCCCAGCAGACACTGGCAGTGGAGATATTGTTTGAGACACAGGGAACAGAGATGGACAGGCAGAGGCAGAAAATGCCTGGTTTGCCCTTTCTCCATCCTTTCAATTTCTTTCCAGACCTTCCTCTTGGCTAAACTGTAAGCCAGGAATTGTACTCCCCAACCCCCAGCAGAAAAAAGACCCCTTAAAAGGATTTTTTTTCCTGTGTTCAGTGTTGTGAAACTGGAAAGCAAAACTGAAGTTGAGAGTCAACAAAATAAGTTTATTTAGTTAATAGAGGATGAAAAGGAAGGCTAGGATTGAAAATCGACTTCTCAACCCACTGGGGTAGTGGAGGTTATAGATTCAGGGAAAAGAAATATGGAGGAAGGCGAGACTAACAAAGGGGTGGAGTGTTCATGTCTTTTCCTGGAATGGCAGAGATTTCCTGCCACTCCAGCACTACCCCCTTTCGTGGTGTGGTACTTCCTGCCAGGGCTGTGGGTAGATGCGTCACTCAGTATGGAAATTAGATTATACTGGAAATTGTGGGGAGGGCATGCTGGGAGCCATCTTGGATTCGACTGGTTTGGGCAAGTTCATCTGAAGAGGGACTTCTGGTGTCCAGGCATCCTGTCCTCAAAGACATACAAGATGATGTAGATAATTAGGTCGTGTTAACAGCATACTGGGTTAAAAAAAAAAAAAATCCTGTGTGAAAATCAGCTGATTCAAAACCTGGGGAATATGGCCAGCAGAGGAAATAAATGCCCTCTGTGACTCAAAGGAGAACATGAACAATAGAAGCAGGACTCTGGGACTAATGCAGTCTTCAGCCTACTGCATGACATAAATCACAATAAATAACAAGCTGGGAAGTGGCTGGAAGAGACTGGTAGAGGGACATCTTCATGGACAGAAGATGCAGTTGCAAAGGCCTTCTGCTTAAAAGAGCTCCAGATGGTATAATTGTCTGCTGTGGTCATTTGAAAATTACTCATAATTCTTGAACAAATATCCCATGTGTCCACTTTGCAGTGAGCCCCTTACATAATGTATTCAAACACAACTGGCAGTAAGCATTAAATTACTTCAACACAGAATAGCTGTGTTCACAAGATAGGATGTAGATGTCACACTTATTTATGGCAGCTACATAACATAAAAATAACAACAAATGACTGCAAGGTGAAGAAGAATAAAATAACCTCAAAGAAAATAGAGGGAATGAGATAAGACATAGGGCATGGCTTAGGCTGGCTGGGAAGAGAGGCCTGGTGGGATCCCAGCATCCACCTAACACTGCCTCTCCGGACGCTGTGTGTAGAACTTCTCCCAGTTTCCACAAGACGATGATGATATATAAGAACACAGACACCAAGAGGACCCTGCTACTGTGTCTTTTTCATGGCAGCCCACCCTGTGTCTCCCAGACTATGATGCGCTTTTATTTTTGCTTTCCCCTTTTCTTTTCTTGTTTGCTCAAGTTCACTCTGCATAGCCAGGTTCTCCCTCCTCTTCCCACTTCTCAAATAAACGTTGGCACCATTTTTGGCTTGTCTCGTTCAATTGTTTGTTTGAGGTGAGGAGGACCTGGGATAAGTTTAATTGGCAGGCCATTTCTAAAAGAAACTACCTGTTAACAGGAACATAGTAAAGATAGACAAGAAAGCACAGCCACGAGTGAAACTGTATGATGATAACACACAGAAATGGTGTTTCCTCATGGACTTAATCACAAAATGAAGCCCAATGAATTAGTGGCTGTGGGACTGTGAAATAGGCACTTGTGCTCCCAGGCATATAACTCCAAGGCTTTGCAGTCTTCTAAGTGTATGCTGATGAGCTGAGCGGTGGCTGGGGTCCCTTAGGTAGCTGCAGGATGAGGGGCGGCCTCCAGAAAGGCAGAAGAGAGGGCTGATTTCCAGCTCCACCAACCTCCCAAAAGAGGAGAGAGGCTGAAGGTTGGCCAGTAATGTAATTGTTCATGCCTATTCAATGATGCCTCCACAAAAGTTCAAAAGAACAAAATTTGAAGAGCTGCTGGATGGCGGAACACAGGAAGCTTCGCTGGGGAGAGCATGGGAGCTGATCGATGATATAATCAAATGTCTATATAAGGAAGCCTCCATACAGGCTCTAAAGGACAGAATTCTGAGAGCTCACTGCAGGGTGGCATCATGGTGAGATGGTGAGGGTATGGAGACATAAGGCCCTGACCCTCACTCCTTGCCCTGTGTATCTCTTCTTCATCTGGGATCATTTATCTCCTTTGTAATATGCTTTATAATTTTATTTTTTGGAGACAGGGTCTCACTATTAGTTCAGAGGGCCTTGAACTCAAGGCAATCCTCCTGCCTCAGCCTTCCTGAGTACTGAGATTACAGGTGTGCACCATCATGCCCAACTATGCTTTTATGATAAACCATTAAACACAGATGTTTCCCTATGTTCTGTGAGCCATTCCTACAAATTAGTTGAACCAGAGGATGGAGTGTGAGAGCCCCAATTTTTATCTGCTGGGTCAGAAACACAGTTAAAACAACCTAGGGTTTATGATGGGCATCCAAAGTAGTGGGACAGAGCCCTAACTCTGGGATCTGACACTATCTCCAGGCAGCTAGTGTTGGAGTTGAATTGATTTGGGGGACACCCATGTAGTGCTCCCTGCAGAAATAATTGCTTGCCGTCTTGCTACTGGGAAACAGAAATTTCCCCTTTGAAGATCCTGGAAGTCTTCTGTGGTGATTGTAGTTAGGTGAGGGTATAGAAGAAACTCAACTTACTTCTTTTCTCTATTGCCCATATCTGTAAGAGATTCAATTAAAACAAAAAAGCCTATCATCATTAGTATCCACAAGACATAGTCCTAAAACACACAAAAATCAAACTTATAATAAAAACATGGAAAATGCCAACGGACTAAAATAAGGCTGCCAGAGACTATCAAACTGAAATCAAGCAAAGAACATTAAACTTCTCTGTCAGTTTATACAGATGAAGTTCCTAAGAACTTCCTAATTCCCTTGAAGATAGCATCACAATATATCAATAATTCCTTTTTATAATACTGTATGTTATATTTATAAAAATATACAAAAGCTGGAAAGATCTGAAAAGGAAATTCCACTGTAGGAGAGCTAATGCAGGTAGAAGTTCTCATCATAGGTTGCCCCTTACGTCTGTGCCACTCATGACAACAGCCACTAAGCCACCCAGGAGTGCCGTGGAGTGCTTGGTAACCAGTCAGAGGTGAGACAGTGGTGTAAGTATCAAATAATATCAGCTTGCTAAGGCTTAGCATTACACAGTAACTTAAGTTGGCATATTAGGGATGTTTGTACTTATTACTGAAAATACTATTTTGCATATATTGGGTTAAATAAACTACATTATCAAATCCGTCTTTTTCCCTTTTTAATGAGGCTACTAGAAAAATTTAGATTATCTGTGTGGCTTTATATTCCACTGAGCGCTGCTGTTCTCTTAGACAATCACTTTTATTAAAACAGCTTTGACAATTTGTTTTGTTTTGGGGGTTTGGTTTTTTTGTTGTTGTTGTTTGTTTGTTTGTTTTTGGTACTGGGGATTAAGCCCATGGACTTTACATTGACCTACATCCCCAGCCTTTTTAAAAAAATTTCCTATTTTCAGACAGAGTCTCGATAAGTCACTAAGTTACCTAGACTGAGCTCAGACTTGAGAGCCTCCTGCTTCAGCCTCCCAGAGTGCTGGGATTACAGGCATGCATCACCACACCCAGTTTAATTCATGTAGTTCTTTTAATTTTGCTTAACTTTCATAATGCTGGATTGTAGCTGAAGATTTCCTACCTTGAGTATTTCTGATAAATTCCATCTTTATCGCAAGAGAAGTACACATATGAAGAAAAACTTTAACACTTATCCTTAGAACCAAACCATTTATATTTCTCTGTTTTGATCATTTTGTAAAATAATAGGGATTAAATAAAATTAATATTAAGATAATTTTGTGAGACAAAATGGTAACAGGATTAAAATGGACCATTGGTGGGCTGGTAGACACTACCATAAACACACAGCACTGAGTAGTTTTGGTCGGTTCATGTCAGGAAGTTTGAATGCAGCACATCAGATCAGATGGAGAAGGGGTCCAGAGTCAATTTAGGATGTGTAAAAGCTTATTGTGCGTGGAAATACAATGTAAGAAAAGGCAAGGATTGTTAGATAAAACACTTCTGTAAATATGGAAAATGATGAAAATACAACCATCAGCAAACACAAATCTCCAGCCATGTTCAGACTATGTAGAACAATGACAGGTGAATAGTGCATATATGAGTATATATACATGTGTATATAAATGTCCTTACATATCTGTGCATTTTCTCTCTTCCCTAGAAAGCATACTCTTTTAAGGAAACTAATGACATATATTCTGATTGGCCTAAAGTTTGAGCATTCTGGAGTTGTCACATTTTCCCAAATCTACCAACAAATTAAGCGCAATTACCGTTTGATCAAAGATGTCAAGTAGAACAATACATAATTGAGAATAGCAGGAAGAAATTCTAAAAATAAAATATAATGAAGTAAGTTTGCTGTTTTCATGATGAAAGACATGGAATTATAGAAATTTAAATAGTAGAGGGTAGAAGACTAGAAAATGAATCCTAGCAAGCTGGTCTATAATTCATAATCAGTGTAGGAGTTCAGTCAATGGCAAACTACTTGAAAAATAAATCTTAATTCTCTTAAATCCAACAAAACTTCAAAATAAATAAAAAAATTATAAAATGAAAAATATCCACCTACGTTACCTTGCATTTCTGTTGTGGTTTGCATTTTATGGCATTTTACATTTCTGTCTTTATATAGGATCTAGTCTTTTCTAATGCTACAACTTTTTCTTCCTGTAATTTTAGAATTTGTAACATACCTCAATATCTGTTAGGGAATGTTCTCCCTCATTACTTTATTTTCAGACATTTCCTTAACATTCTCACAGTTTAGTTATTTTTTTCTTGCTGTAAGTTTAATTTTCTAAATTAATTTTAGAATGTTTTATCCAGTGTACCATCAGTATTTGTGGATTTAGGCTGGAATCAAGTTACATAAACAGATTAATGTGCTTTTGTAATTCCATCCAGAAATCAAAGATGCCCTCTCCAGTCAATCAGTTATTTGTATATCTCTATGAGTTGTTTTCTTCACAATCTTTTGACTTTCACTTAAAGTCACTATTGTGATCACACTTTCACTGGGTAGGAAATGGAAGTGAAGGAAATAAATTTTTCTAAAGCATGAAGCCCACATGATGTGGTTGAGATTGCATGATCAGCCAGACACTGTTTTAAGGTTTCAAAGAATATTTCCTAACTCAAAAATGAGCACTGTGGGGCGAGTTTTAGCCCTTCTTTCTCCCAACCAAATCTGTTTTCCCCTCTGGTCCCACAGGTAACTAGGATAATAGAAGTGGTCCAGATAGTAACAGACAAATGAGTTTCTCACAGAACACACACAGGAAATGTACCTTGGGGCCAATTACAGCAGCTGATCTTGGATTACCAGCTGCCCTCCTTTTTCTAGAACATTCTGGCTGACCCAGGGACACTGACAGACACTTTGCTTGAGTTCCCATGGTGTAGGTAGGGTGAAGATGTTTAAATGGAGTCCTGTAGGGAGAGCAAAAGGAGAATTCTCCTGCTCAGCAGATTGAGTGGCCATGTGTGACACCAAAGGACTTAGCTTTAGAAAATTCTCTGGAAATTTAACCATTATAAACTAATTAGAGGACATGGGAGAAAGATTAGAGAAGCTACTGCCCATCTCATCAGCACAGTGAGCTCTGCATGGCCACAATCTGCTTACTGAATGACAACAGGAAGACAGTTTGCACCTTACACATACTGCATAGGTGCCTGGCTGGTTTTCTGTGCAATGTTGGCTTCGAATAGGACCACCCTGGTCCTAAAGCCAGCTGTTTTGAATTGGGGTCTTGTAAGCTTCCCAGGCCAGACTTGAACTTGCAGTCCTCCTACATCAGTCTCCCACGGTGCTAGGATTACAGGCATGTGCCACCATGCCTAGCTAACTGGCATTTTATATGTTATGTTGCAGCCAGAAGTATTGAAGAAAGAGGGATTATTTATTGGCACCACGGAAAATGGAAAGTTTTTTATTTTCAGCCTCATGTACAGAATAATACTTACTATAGACCATGTTGAAGGAACAGTTGTCTTAGGAACCTCCTGGCACTAAGCCCTGGCCTCGAGGTGGCAAATGAACTTTTTCATGCTCTGTTAAAAAAACCAAAAGCCCTTGCCTATTTGGAGTTTAAAATGTCCCATTGTTCCAAATGTAAAACTTTCCTCTCTCAGTCCAGTAGAAGTGACAGAAACCCAGAAAGGAGGGAAGGGATAGGAAGAGCTGTGACCCAGGAGCTACAGATGGGTAGTGGGGCTCAGGACTGGTACTTGTCATCCAGGTGGCTTGAGCAAATCTCCTTTCCAGCACCCGTTTTCATCCTCTGTAAAGTTAGAGCTGGTGTGATACAGGTGTCCTTATTATTGAACCATCTGGACTTCTATTATATCAGTATGCTTTTTTTGGGATTCTCCTAGAAAGAGAATAAAGTTAGTTGTATTTGTCACTTGTCCCACTATAAAATTCCTTGTTTTCCGAACTTGTTGGGAGATTGATGTCCCACAGACATTGTTGAGAAAGTCTAGACCAGAAAACAATTCTAAAGATGTAATTCTAATGTGCATTTATTGAAAGTGACTGCTTTTTTGCTTAGAAATATTCATCTTGTGTCATAATATGATACATTACCTTAAACGATCCAGGCAGGACAGGAATCAAAAGAAAGCTTTTCATTCATTTACCAAACATGGAGTGCCCGTGCTAGGATGCTGTATCTTAGCACTGGCTTGTGGAGAAGAGAAGCACCTGGAGATTTTTTGAAGTCATTGTTTTGCCATGGAGGTTTCCATGGAACCCCGAGATCATGAATGAGTTGCTTTGTTTGAAGGATTTATGCTGGGTTGCACAGCAATGAATGGTAGCTTAGCACTAGCACAAAAATACAGGTGTATTAGTCACCTTCCCATTACTGGGACAAAATACCCAATACTTGCAAATGAAAGGAGGAGAGGTTTATTTGACTCACAGTTTTAGTGGATTTAGTCCATGGTTAGCTGTTCCAAGGAAGAAAGAACATGGAAGAAGGACCAGGCAGAGGAAAGCTGCCCACCGTATGGCAGCCAGGAAGCAGAGAGAAGAGAAGAGTCTGGTCACATTGCCAAAGACCCATCTTCTAATAGTACAGTCAGCTGTGAACTCACTCATGGATGAATCCACCAATGAGTATAACACTCCCATGATCCATCACCTTCCGAAAGCTCCACCTCGGGGCTGGGGATTTAGCTCAGCGGTTCGGTGGCCTGTCTCGCAAGCGCAAGGACCCGAGTTCGATCCCTGGTACCAAAACAAAACAAAAGCTCCACCTCGGCATACAAGAGATTTTGAGGGAACATTTTAGATTTAAACCTCTACAACAGGACAACCAGAATCTCTAACTATAGGGCAGAAAAATCATATAAATATTCAGGAAAAAATGTATTTGAAGGCATTGACACTGTCTATAAATTATGGTCACTGGTATGAATTTTTTTAATTCATGTTTTAATGAACACATATAACTTTTGTGATCAGAAAAACAAAACCAGAAGGAAGAAAAAAAACAGCAAATGTTTCATTAACACTTTTTAAAATTATGGCTAGGGGTATGGGTCGAAATGGCAAGTCTGTTTCAACCTGATGAAGTTTCTGGGCAAGATAGTACTGGAAAATAGACAAGTGGTTCGATATTTAGTTTTTAAATAGTAAAATAAGATCTGATGGAAGAAAGATTGGTGGTTTCACCTGAAGTCCCATCGGCATGTCCCTCATGACCACTCCACCTGGCAGGCTGCTGTGATGGTAATTTAATGAGGGTCTACCCCCCTAAAGGGTCATGCTAGTTTATGCACGTATGTGCGTCACAGTTTACAAGCTAGATCAGTTTTACTACTTTTCTTTTTTTCAGTTTTGGCTCTTTCTGTGCAGCGATGTGTCAGTATTGAAGCCATGCCCAAAGGAAGGCTTTTGTCTCCCAGGAACCCATGTGTGAGGCAACTCTGTTCATGCCTAAATGTGGGTTTTGTTTCCTTTTCCCACCTCTTTCCTTTCACCAGGCCAAACAAGGCTAGTTTTTGTTCCAATCAGAAATGTTCTTTCTTTGTGGACTCCTTCCTCCAAATGAAGGAAGGAGACGCTTTTGTGCTGGTGTCCAAGGAGATGACACATTTTCTTCCTATTGACTTGTATCCATAGAATCATGTCACCTGGAGCCTGTACCCCTGAGTGCACCTGCCCAGAGGGACACCCCACAGGCAAAATGGAAGAGCCTCCTGGCTTTGTGCACCACTGCAAGCGTCGGAGAAAGCTACATCTGCCCTCTCCTTTCTCTACCCTGCCTTGGAGCCAGCCAATTACAGACTGAAACCCCTAAACACTATGAGCTAAATAAACCTTTCCTCCTTTAACTTTGGGTGTCAGGTATTTTGTCTCAGCAAGGAGAGAAAAGTAACTGAGACATAAGCCATAACACCACCCCATGGTGAATGCATCCCTCAGCATCCTAGAGAGTGAGCCTTATGTTGCGTTCACACCCTGGTGCACCTCCTCCTGGTCCACTTTCCCTAGCGTCCTTGCCGATGCGGGTAGCTCCACTCAGGTCTCCATGCCAGGAGGAAGATATTGCAAGCTCTTTACCCCCAGAGCCACCAATCTCAGATCATCATTGCCCTGTCTGGTATAGACCTCAGGCTGTCCTGTCTCTCTTGATAGTTGTTCCTCACACCATGTCTCTTACAGGCTACTACTTATAGGCTTTCTCTTCTTCCTTACTCTGACATTTAGGTAAATAACTAACACTATTCACTTGCTTCAATTCCTCACTTTATCCTCTTGAATGACCTCCCTTTAGGCGCCTCCAGCCAAGGCTTCGCCAGCCTTGAGAAAACTGTAATCTCAGGACACCATTTCCTGAGCATAGCCTCCTCCCCCACCAGCCGAGCACTGCCCCATCCCTCTGCACCTTGTCTTTGGCTCCATCCCCACCTCCAAGGTTTGGCCTTCCCAGTAGCCAGTGGGGCTCTCATCAGAACAATCTGCTTCCTCACTGTGGATCCAGCGACCCTCCCTGTTCCAGTTGCCCCAGTCTCCTGCCAATAAGTACTGCAGACACAGTTTCACTGTCCACCACATGGGTGGACACAGGCTTGTGGTCTTTGGTCTCCATGGGGCCATACACAGCTTTGGGAACCTGCCCGTCTTTCATTCCTCGGCAGCAGGTGGAAATGTTCATGAAGTGAATAGGGCCCCCACTCTCCCTTTCCCTCCTGTTTTTAGCCAACAGCATCCTCTTCCTTTTCTCAAGCCACCAGTCACTAGGCAGAACTCACATACATTCCCTTGAGCCGTTGATCTGTATCCCCACTGTGTCCAGCATGGAGAAGATGTCCCAGCCTCCTCCTCTGCCAGTCTTCTGGACAGCCCTCACTCAAGCCCTCAGTGTGTCCCTTTGTCCCCTTGTGGTGCCAGCCACTCCCTCTTCCCAGCACTTTTCAGCAAACTTTAAAGCCTCTCTGGCTTCTTCCATCTGAAACAGACTCTTTCAAGTCCACCTCTTCTAGTTATCACCTAGTTTAAGTCCTTGTCCTATTTTTTTTTTCCTTTTACATCTTTAGCATTAACATTTTGAAGTGACTGGCGAATGTCTGGGTGTGTCTATCAGTGGACACTTGGATGAGTGAGTCTTGGGGCCTGGAGAGCTGTCTGTGCTAAAGACGTGGAACTTGGACTGCATGGGAGACAAAAGATGATCATTGGCGCTGTGAGAGTGGAGGGAATTGCCCATGACTGAGCTTTAGAAAGGAAGAAGTTCAAGGCCGAGCACCTCTGAGACACCACACCGTCCGTGAAGCTAGGAATCACTCGCGCCAGAGGTAACCTCTCATATCTCTAAAAATTATAGTAGCTGACATATGAACAGTAACTGTGCATTCATAGCTCTAAATGCTTGCCATCCTCTTAATAACAGTAAGAGGCAATTATCAGACCTCCTTTTTTAAAAAATTTTTTTCAGCTTTAATTGAGTTTATTTGTACATTTTAGGAATACAGTACAGTTACATTCATTGTTGGGATCTTGTACCTCTACATGACAAGTCTTGATTCTCATTTTTTCCCCTTACCTCTGCCCTCCCTTCACCCCCTCCTCCCCTCCCCATCTACAAACACTTTATTTTCATCTTTTCATTCTCTCACATTTTTTTTGTTTCCCTTTTTACTCTTCCCCTACTCATCCCACCTTCCCTACACCTTTAGCTCCTTTCCTCCCATTTCTAAATGTCAGTAATCTTATTAGGATCTTATGCATTGTTGCAGATTATTCACACCAGGGAAACTATTTGGTATTTACACATGTGTGATTTATTTATTTCACTTAGGAGTATATCTTCAATATGTATCCATTTTCCTATGAATTAATCTATTTTCTCGTTCTTTATGGCTGAGTAATATTCCATTTTATAGAAAAACCACATCTTCTTTATCCAGTTTCCAATGGATGGGCAAATAGGCTGTTTCCAAGATTTAGTTATTACAGACTGTGCCACTATAAACATGGCGGTACATACTTCTCTGTGATAGGATTCTTTTAGTTCTCTTGGAAAGATACCCAGCAGAGGGATGGCTGGGTCAAATGGAACCTCCAGTCCAAGCTCTTTGAGGTATCTCCATATTGATTTTCATAGTGGTTGCACCAGTCTGCACTCCCACCAACAATGGAGAAGGGTTCCTTTCTCCCCACAACCCCGC